ATAAGCCTTTGGGCTTTCAGGTCTTTATCCAAATCCACTAGAGCTTTGATCCTTCAGCGGTTTACCAGTCCCCAAAACAGACGGAGTCCCTTTGGGGGGCAAAAATTCCAAGTTCCAATAAAATGGCTTCTTAATACACTAAAGCAGCAGTTCTATTTAGGAATAGGAAATCACTTAAAAGTCGGAGTTTATAAAGCATCCCTTGATGTTTAAAGCTAAGATACTTTGTTTTAGTTTTAATTGTTTGTTTACATTATTATTGTTTTTAATGCTACAACAAAGCACTAAACCAGAACGGGTCACGTTGGGGTTTAACCACTGACTTTCTGTATTTACTTGAACAAGACTGCATTTTTGAAAAATGAAAACAGCCTCATGTGCTTTTCAAAAAGATTCTTCTACCTTTTAGATGAAGAATACCTACAGACACCTTATACAGTAGGGGAAAAGGAGCTCTCAACCCGCATATTAATACAGAGTGCCACCATCTGTGTGTGAGGTCGAACAAGGTATGGCCTGTTTACTAAAAGTTAGAGTAACTCCAAAATGCCATCGTCTCATTTACCTATTGTCCCAAAGTATGTTCTCCAAGGCATTCTATACTGCAAAAAAACGAAGGAAAATGGGTTAGGTTGAGGATAAAAGTAAAGAACGAGAATAACAATGGCCTTTGTTGCTGCACCGGAGGAATGGCTTGTCAGAGAGGCATATTCCCTAACCAGCCATCATTAACGGACTCACTTCCACAGGAAAAAAAAAAAAAAACAGAGTCTGAAAACTCCGGACAAAAGAAATCCCTGCAGACAAAGTAAAAACAAATTAAAAGACCCATTATAAAACACAGATGCTACAAGGAAAATAAACTTTGTAAGATTTACTGAGCTTTGACAAACTTGAACATTTGTGGAAAAGACATCAGCAACAACTCCCAGGTACTGTGGCTGCGGAGCTAGCCTCCTCTCCATTTTATCTTCACCCTCTCCGCAAAAGCTGCAGGCTGGTATTCTAGGCTTCTGAATGCAGCGACGTGAGAACATGTGCAAGTGGCACACTGCCAGCTACAAGAAACCTCTGCAGCCAGCAAGATCCTGAGATTGTTGACCATTTCAGATTATGCTAAATATCAAAGGTAATATCAGTGTGTCTCTGTCCATGTTTGTGTTTCTTCTTAAATGCAAACAAGAAAAGGGAAAAAATAAGAAATAAATGTAATGATATGCCTCCTCTCCCTTCTTCCCCTTTAAAAATAATCTCCAGATGTAACAAAGTGAATAAAAGCAGTTACTGTAGCATTAAGCAAAGGCTCAGAGCTGTAGATCCGAAAGTACCTTTAAAAAAGTATCCTATCAGTGAGAAAGATTAAACTTTTTGTTATAGGTTTCTAAAGGCACAAGCTACAGATTGTTGCTTATGGGGGTCAAAGGAAGATTCTAGTAACACAAGGTGTAAGAAACTAAGAACTATAATGGAATAAAATGGAACAAATGACATGTTTGAAGGATAAAGGAGCACTGATTGCCCTTTGGGGTCATTAGGGATGTGAATAAATATAAATATAGACTCATCTGTAAAAAAGCAAAAGGATTCCAGGCAGTGTTGACAGTGCCCTACAGGAGAGCAATGTTTTTAGGAGGTCTGCATAATCTTCTCACTTCTTTTATCCTTACCATGGACACTTTAGGCTCTCCAGTGCTCTGAAGGTTTACAGTAGCAACCTTCCCATGTTATATATTAGACGCCGACAACGGTATCACATTCTGTTCTCATCACCTTTCCAACACACTCATCCACAAGATCTGCCACTGTTCTAGGAATCAAGCCTTCCAGTCAGTGCCCATGGGCTGCTACTATTTGAATCCCTACATTTTGAAATTGGATCAATGAGGCCCACTGAAAGCCAACGTTGATATGCAACCTAAACTCCTGAGAAGACACTTCTGAAAGAAAAGTCCTACTCCCAGCTACCCTATTATTGTCCTCCTTCCAACAGTCCTACTCTAAGTCCTCTACATGGTATCTATTCCCTAAATATCTTTCCCACATAAAACCCCAGTTATGAGTTCATATGGGGCTTTTCTTGTGCTTTTTGCTTTTCACAGTTTTGGTCTGCTTTTAACATATTGCTGTGGAACTGACTGGGATAAAAACCCAAAATATACTAACAAGTTTAACTAAGTCATTGAAAAGCTCCTGACTTCTTGACTCTGTAAAAAAGAGGACAGTGGTAGCTGCTTTTGAAACACTCAGTGGAAATCTGGGCTCTGAAAAGTTAAAAACACGGCATAGCTCTTGCTTGCCATCTAATTTAACATTAAAGCTTTCTCAGTTAAACAGTTGATAATTATTTAATCAAAACCAAATAAAACCCTTTCGGAAAATATAACAAGTACCCTGTGCAAATGGGCATTTCCTCAATGTGGGATATTTGGGGTTAGGATGGGAGTCTCTATTTCTCTCTTTTTCTAATTCCCCCCTCCCTTTTTCTGGATGAGAATGACTTCCCAGTTGCCGTTCCAGGACATTCACCCTCCTTTTTGACCTTTTCTCAGGCGTATTCCAGTATAATCTGTAATCTACTCAAGTAGGAAAAGGAAACAGCAGCGCCCTAGTGAGAAACAGTGCCTTCTGACCCACATACCAAACTGGGTGGAAGCAATGCTTGTTCACAGGAGCCAAGGAAGTAGAACATGCAATTAAAAGAAAATGAATAAAATATGTATATTTTGTAAAAGGCTATTAACACAACAACCAGAGAGTTTAGGTGACAAAGCTCAAGATGGAAAGAGTTCAAGGACAATTCTGACTGGGCACTCTTGTTTCTCCCTGTAACTTTTAGGGGGGAGTGATGGACAGTGAAGTAAAAATACTGCAAACCTTTATGCATTTCAAGCAAAAACACTTGTTGCTTTTTCATGTAAACAGTTTATGGCACTATAGGTATTTTGGGGAGGGGAGGGAAAGTAAAAAGATAAATCTCCCACAAAATCAATCTGAAAAGAAGGAAGTAATCTTTTTGTGTGTGTGTTTTTGTTTTTGTTTTGTTTTTGCAAGATGGGGATTGAGGTTGTTAATATTGTCATCACTACACAACATACAGACTAGCCTGTATGGAACTTTGCACTAGTGCTTATTAAATGTCAGCAGAGTTAAAATGTCATGTTCTAGAGAAGTGACACTGCACTAATTATTAAATAATAATTAACATGTTTATGCAAATATTTATACATATTTACATAAATACATACATTTTAAACAAATAATTTTCTAGGTGGTTTTCCTTTTCTAGTCTTAACACATTTTACCAGTTATTATCTTAATGTGCTCACGACTATAATAGGCAAATTCGGATATTTTTTCCTTCTTTAAATTAAACTCAATACATTTAGAAAGTTCATTCATAAAAAATTTAAAGTCAAAAAGAGGTAACTGTTCTTTAAACTATATGTAGACAGGACTATCTACACTACTCCAAAAAGATACTAAATCACAAATAGAATTAGGAGACTTGGGATACAAAAAGAAGCCTAAAAAGGGAGATGAGAGCAAGAGCTAGAAACAATGTTTATAAAATACCAAGAATAAAATTGGGGAGAGGGATGTATTAAAAAAAATGTCCAAAAAGTTTCCGAGATACAGGTGTATGGGGAACAGCAATGACATTCCCTGCAGGAAAATCTTTTGGCTACATTTCCTATCCATTGTATTTGGGGCACAATGTAGTCTTGATCACACAGCCAGCCCAAATTTATAAAATAAATGAGCAAAATCTCCCCCATATGTGGGAAGTTCACTGCCATAGTTTATTTTTCTTAGAGCACTCCAAGATGTGGGATCAGGGAAATTTGTAAGAACTGGTGCTCTTAATATTTAAGAAGTTTTAGCAGTTTTTACTTCACTTTAAACATCAGGATTGTAGTTTGCCACTCTTTCAACAATTAAAAATAAAAAAACCGTAAGTAGACTACATTTAACAACAGAAGGAACAAACTCTTTGTAATAAATGAGAAGAACATAAGATTTAGGGAGTTTTACTTTAAGCCTAAAGTTATTCCCAAACCTAACTTAACATATTTAAGTATCCTCAAAATTTCCCTGTTCTCTGAAGGAGCTCAGAGTTTAGGGACGAAGTGCTCAGAAGAATTTTCACCTTAGTGAAAAATCCCCATAATTAAAAGCCCCAAATCTAGCATCTCTTGGACCTCATTTGAGATTAAATGAGCTCCCCAAAGTATAAATAAATCCTCACTGAAATTCTGTTTTAAGAAGGCCCTATACCACATCTCCCATGTTTATCTCACAATGAATTTTGTATCATGTCAACAGAGCAAACAGGGCAAGCTGTGCAAGGAAAAAAAATAAAGAAACTTATCTTCATCACTCAACAACTTATAACTATTATACTGTTAAACATATAAAATGTGGAAGAACTGAGAGCTGGTTCTGAAGAAAACAATTGGACCCTTTATAAGATAAAATTTTATACAAACTACAAGATTTAAGGTATAATATTTTTAGATTTGGAGGACTCAAATTTAATTTAACATTTGCAGAATTTGTATTTTCCAAATACATTAAGCAAGGAAGGAAAAAAAAATAAAGATGAAAGTCAAGAGTATTTTCTGTTGAATCACAGCTATGGTAGTGAAATGTAAGCAGCTTCACAAAAATGCTCTTCCCACAGCCTCCCTCCCCCTCTCTCCCCCTCCCTCCCCCTCCCCATGCTCCCCGCCCCTCCCCACGGAAGCCTTCCTTCTTTTTACCCAGGACTGTTAAGGATATTTTCTGGCTCTCGTTCAGCATCATGACTCAGGTCATGAGAAGTGTCAAAGATGCATTTCCTTCAGATGGGAAAGAGCAGCAGATTTTTAACAACCGTACAAAGATGGGAGTACAGCGCAAAAGGGCCACATCAGCAATTTGGACAGCAGGGGAGATAAAACCTTTCATCTTCACATATATTTATTTCCAGCTTTTAAATATCTTTCTACCAAAATATGCTTACACGTTCTGCTCTTGAAGAAAACAGGAAAGCCATACTCCATTTAGCTGCCTAAATTATCAAAAAATTTGTGAAGAATTGTTCACTAAAAAAAGGAGAAAGAAATCAAAGCACATCATATAATATCAATAAATACTTAAGTCCTTGTTTCCTAAACTGATTTTCCAAAAGCAAAACCATGAGCTCACCAGTGTACATAGAAACTCCTTTGGTAGGAATCCGTGCGAGTGAGAACCACAGAGGAGCGCTGCCATGATCAGTGGGCACCTGAAGTGCTGGCTCTGCTTCCCTATACTTCCTCTGCTGAGGCAGAGACACTTGCTCTTAACCTTTGCCAGAAAACCAAATTCATTCATCAGTGTTGTGGCTGCATATTTTATCTCACCCATGATTTTATCAAATGTGGATACATTGCAATCCACCCCAAAATTAGACAAGAGTGAAATCTTATCTAACGTTCCCTCAACACGCCCTACGAGAGACGGTTCTGGAGCCTGCAGATGGAATGACCTGTCTCTCCTGAAACTTCCAATAACAACACCCACATTAACGGCACTCTATCCACTCGGAGGCAGTTTTACTCTTGTGCCTCATTCTAGCTTCAATATCTCACCTGCAAAAACACATCCCCCAATGTGAATAACTTTTTCAATGAACCTTAAATCCTCTTCCTTTTCCTTTTCTCATCCTCCTCCAAATTCTACATGTCATTTTATGCTAAGAACCTATTATGGTGAGAACTATAACAGTTTCTATTTCTCAGTATGTGTGACCCTGGCACAGCACAGACCCCACTTTCCTTATCCCTTTGTGGCTTACAAATCATAAGCCAACAGTCAGGTTTTTATTTCCTGCTCAGGTTTTACGTTCACGACTACTCGTGGCAGTTACTCTCAAGTCTAATCACTTCTAAATCTGTTTGTTTGGGTCATTCAGACCCTGGTCATTATGTGTCCTAACGAAGAAGCCTATTTCTTATTCTCTGCTCCCTCTCATTTTTCTAAAATCAATTTTTTGGGGGGAAAAGATTTCAGTGGAACCTAATTACAACTGTCCTCCCTGGAAAAGTAAGGCAGTAGTAATATGCAAACAGATAAACCAAATCCTCTTATTATTCTAATCACTAAACTAAAATGACTCTTTCAACACTAACTTCTAAGTTTAGTACCAGAAAGACTCCACCATCCCCAAACCGTCCCAAACAGAGGATTCCTTTATGGGGAAACTGATCTGCCAAATTAAATACAAATTGTATCGATTGGAGTACTCTAATAAAATTGCCAGTTCCACCTGATAGACCAGGGGGACCTACAAGTTGGTATGGCCTGCTCATGCTCAAAGAGCTTCCAATCAGTTCGGTAGTACAGATTTGTTGATAAGGGGAATAAAAATAAAATCGTGAAATAAATGAACATATAATAAAATTTTAAAGTAAGGTAAAAATAAGAATGATCAGCCGAGGATTCCTCAACATTCAGGTCAACATTTTGGTTTAATCAGTCTAACATTGGGCCTGGATATCAGTAGTTTTTAAAATCTACCTGAGTAAATTATAAATGTAATTGTGAACCATTGCTCTAATATGGAAGATAATACTCCTAACAACCACAAAAAGTTTGAAAAAGAAGTCAGAGAAATAGAGATAATACAAGGAGCAAAATATGCTTTAAAAATTATTAGTCTCTCTTTAAAGAGATAAACTATAACGGGTCTGTCAAATAAGAAAAGAATGTGATAATTAAAGAAACATTAAGAGTAAAGAATATTAAAAACATGTTGCTGAGATAAAAATGCAATAAGAAGGTTAAAAGAACAAGTTGGGGACACTCTCATACAGTGAAACAAAAAGACAAAGTGATAGAAAATAGAAAAGAAAGTTAGGGGTTCAATGTAGGAGATCCACTTCCAACTAACATGTTTCCCGAAAGGAGCAAAAGCATAAAGAAAACCAGCAAGGAAGACCCCATGCAGAGTTGACATAAGAGCCTCTGGGAATGACACCTGACAGGCTGTTTTTCATTATAAATTCATGGGATTATTTCTCTTTTATAATAAGTGTGTACATTGCTTTGATGAAATTATATTAAATAGGTAAACAAAAACAATAAAATTCTAATAAATGTTAACAGAAAGGAGAAGCAGAGATTAACTATAAGCCCTTATAATGTCTCAATAGTGGAGCTTAATCACTCTGATCCCATAAAGTAGAGAATAGCAACATAGAGAATCAGGGAAAGGAATTTTTAGGACATGCAGACACCCTATACTTACTTAACTAAAAAAATTTGCCTCCGTTCAACTACCTAAATTTATTCATAGGACCTAGGCATCTGGATGGGGTACTAAAAATAGATATAACTGATAATAATATAGTTCAAAAGTCCAAGTCTCTAAGAAGATTTTGAGAAATACATCATACAAAACATAGTAAGAAGGAAACTGGGTAACTATAATATAAGACACCACCATCCATAGTACACCAGGTTCATGCCAGGGTTACCATGATCAGATCAGAGGAAAGTTTAGAAAAGATCGCCCTCTAGAGGCATGTCTCATTAACCATTTAAAATCAAAACCCCCACATCACGCTACTCAGTCTATGCTTTGCCAAAGTAAAAAAAAAAAAACCAAACAAACAAAAAAAATAACAGAGAAACAAACAAAATATTTCATGAATAGTAAAAGGCAAAACAAGAAATTTCAGGTTAGCTTCACTTGCTAACTACCTTATGTGTCATCTATTTTAAGGAAAACTTTCAGAGAGAAAAAAATGAGGCATTTTCTAAATGAAACAGAAAAAAAAATATTCCAATAGAGTTTAACCAGTTTTTATAGCACCAAATTGTAATCTATAATTTAGAGACAATATAAGAATTTTTTAAAGATACTCCAGAGAGCCCTAACCGATTTGGCTCAGTGGATAGAGCGTCGGCCTGCTGACTCAAGGGTACCAGGTTCGATTCAGGTCAAGGGCATGTACCTTGGTTGCGGGCAGATACCCAGTGGGGAGTGTGCAGGAGGCAGCTGATCAATGTTTCTCTCTCATTGATGTTTCTAACTCTCTATCCCTCTCCCTTCCTCTCTGCAAAAATCAATAAAATATATATATTTTTAAAAAGATACTCCAGAGATAATGTTATTTTTCTCAGAAACTATGCTATCGGCACTATCCTCTCAATTTTGCTATGAAGCTAAAACTGCTCTATAAAATAGTCTATTGAAAACTGAGCTCTTTTTATTTAACGGATGGTTTTTCAATTAGTCCTTCTTAAATGAAAGCATCTTGTTTCAGATCTCTCTTTTCAATCCACTTTCCCAAAGAAATCATCTGCTCTAAGAAACAAAAGGAAGTGACATAAAAATATTTAAATATGTATGATTTTGTGTAGAGTACAGCATAATGTCGTAGCAACATTTTTTAAAGGATGATAAAATAATTTATAAGAAAATAAATTCACTAGGAAAACTTTATTAGGCTTGAAAACAACCAATTAAAAACAAAATTTCATCTGAGCTAAAACAATCAAGTACATGTAACCAGTAAAAACCCAGGTACTAAACTAAGGTAGCCTAACAGAAAGAGGTTTATCCATTTAACATGTATATACTATATATACTCTGTGTCATATGAGGCATAAAATTTAAAGCAGAGCTACAGTACACATGATTGATTTTTCCTGGCAAAATTAAAACATACAAATGGAAACTTCAATCCACAAGTAAACAGAGATGTGGAAAGAGAAGTCAAGGAACATCACATCCTTATTGATTGTCTTAAGTAGGTGAAACTATGTAAGGCTGAAATGTGTGGTTGCTTTGTATTTACAATTGTGATGTGGTCTATATCAAGAAAACTACTGATCAACAAAACTAATTACAATAAACCATCAAATAAAGACTATAAACAGTTTCTGAGTGGTAAAAAAAAAACGCAGCACTCAAATGCTAAAAAGAAAAGTGATGCTACCAGCTATTTAAAAGCACTTTTACTAAAACATGGAGCTTCAAGTCCAAGAAGGTCTCAACTACTTCCATTTGTAAGAAGCAGAATCTGGAATTCAAATGCCAGAAGTCATGACTCAAAGATGACTCCTCTCCTGAGGATCAATAAGTTAATGGGAAAGGAGACGCTTCCAGGAACTCTGGGGAACTATAGAAATAAATCCAAAATCCCTCTGTTAAGTCCATGGAAATAGCAAGAAAAAACAAGTTCCTTAAAAGCCCTATCACAGAGTACATGCCATATTTTTGAATCTAAACTGGAAAACTAATTTGCAAAATAAAGGAATGCAAAGGCTCAAGAATAGGTGGAGTAATTGGAAAAACTACACTTCCTGATGTGTGAATTCTAAACGAGCAAAAACATATGAAAAAGAAAAAAATTATACTACCTTCAGTTTTCAGTTTTGTGTTGGTGTCTCCATTTCAGAAACAATGTTATAAGTCAACTTATCAATACTGAGTCTACAATGCTTTAAAAAAAAAAAAAAGCAAGCCCTGCCTCAGCTGTTGGAGAATGGTCCCATACACCAAAAGGTTGCAGATTCGATTCCCAGTCAGGGGACATACCTAGATTGCTGGGTTCAACGCCCAGTTGGGGCTTGAATAGGAGGCAACCGATTGATGCTTTTGTATCTCTGTCTCCCTCTGTATCTCTCTAAAATCAATAAAAAAACATATTGAGGAGTGAGAATTAATATAATAAATAAAATTATAAAAGGCTAAAATGGGTACATAATAAGGTCACAATTATATTTTTCATTCACTCATCATTCAGTGAATAATTCATTTATTTGGTTTTCTGGATAAGAGGCACTATGCAAAAATATGAAAAAGTACTCAATCCTATATATATCCTCAATAAAAATAATATTGATAATGATACTAATCATAGCAGGTAGCCATTTACAGAGTATTTGACATGTGCAAAACACTATTCAAAGTGCTTTAATGCTCACAGTAATTAAGGTAGGTAATATTATTTTCCACATTTTACAGAAAGAAAGTTAAGGCACAGGTACAACAACAGGTCCTAGTCACTCCCTTCTCTCATATGTGACATAAAGTATACCAGAAATCCTGATGGCCCTACCCTCAAAATATAGCAAGAATCCGCCCTGGGTGGTTTGGCTCAGTGGATAGAGCGTTGGCCTGCGGGCTGAAGAGTCCCGGGTTCAATTCCAGTCAAAGGCACATGCCCCAGTTGCAGCTCAATCCCCAGTTGGGGGCATTCAGGAAGTAGCCAATCAATGATTCTCTCTCATCATTGATGTTTCTATCTCTCTCGCCCTCTCCCTTGGTCTCTGAAAGCAATAAAATATATTTTTTAAAAAACAGATATATAGCAAAAATCCAATTACTACTGAGAATCTCCACTATAAACAACTCAGTCCATGCCTTGTCTTCTCTCACTTGGATTTTTGCAATACTCTCCTAACTGGTCTCACTGGGCTTCTACCCTTGTTAGATCTCCCCTCTGATCATGCCAAAACACAGGCTTATCATGTCACTCTTATTCTCAAAACTCTCCACAGCTTCTCCATCTCTCAATCTAAGTAAAAGTCAAAGGTTGACATTATCTGGACACATTTGCTCTCTGATCTCATCTTCTACTATGTGCTCCTACTATTATGACCCCTTAACCCTAACCCTAACCCTTGAACACTCCAGGAACATTCCCAAACCAAGGATTTTACACTAGCCGTTCCTTCTGTCTAGAACATGTTCCCCAGACATCTGATTGACCTTCATCCATGCTTCCATCACCTCTTTGTTGAAATGTTAGCAGCTCAGTCTGGTCTGCTGACAAATTCTAATCTCAAATTGCAATCCTCCCCAGGCATTCCCTATTCCCCTTCAATTCTTTATTTTTCTCCTTAGCCCATAAAACTATCATCTTTCTTTTTTCTTTTTTGGTTAATCCTCATTTTTTTCCATTGATTTATTTTCTTAGGGAGAGTGGGAGAGAGAGAGGGAAAGACAGAAACACTGATGTGAGAGAAACACATCAATTGATTGCCTCCTGCATGTGCCCCAACAGGGCCCGGGCTGGAGAGAAGCCTGCAACCAAAGTATGTGCCCTTGACCAGAATCGAACCCAGGACCCTTTGGTCCACAGGCTGACACTCTATCCACTGAGCCAAACCAGCTATGGCTATCTTTCTTTCTATCTATCTTTCTACCCTCTTTTTTATTCATAGCACTCCACTAGAAAGTCAGCTCCATGGGAAGAGAGACATGTTCCTCCTGTCCACTGCTATATTCTTAGAGCTCAGAAACAGTGCCTAGACATAGTAAACTCTAACTAATGGTTGATGAATAAATAAATGTATCTTAAAGATGTTAAAATGAACAGCAAAGTTATCATGAATAAAAATCTCTTCATTCTGACAAGTAATGATTAAAATCTAAATTGTTTTATTGGGGGACAAGGGGTGTGGAGGGATTAAGCAAAAAAGAGAAAGAGCCCTGACTTGTTTGGCTCAGTGGATAGAGCATCGGCCTGCTGACTCAAGAGTTCCACGTTCGATTCCAGTCAAGGGCATGTACCTTAGTTGCGGGCACATACCCAGTAGGGGGTGTGCAGGAGGCAGCTGATCGATGTTTCTCTCTCATCAATGTTTCTAACTCTCTATCCCTCTCCCTTCCTCTCTGTAGAAAATCAATAAAATATTTTTTTTTAAAAAAGGGAAAGAACTCATGGACAATAACAACATTGTGGTGATTGTGGGGGGTGAGAGGGATGGGTGGAGGTGGAAGAGGGTATAGGGGGGATAAATGGTGATGGAAAACAATAAAACTTAAAAATAATCTAAAAAAGAAAAATTGTTTTATTAGAACTTCTAAAGATGTTTGGAAACTTGGCTCAAAGCCTTCGAGTCTACATTTTACCAAATACTACACAAGATACAAAGACACAAATACAAATAAGGCCCTGTCTTCATGGAAGTTGACCTAATAGACAGACAGGCAAGTCCGTGAACAACCAACATGTTGCGATATAACAAAATATGTTCAGAGTGTCACTATGGAGGCTGCTACAGATGACACACATCCAGAGATGTTTAAGAGAGGCTAAGAGACAAAGTGATATTTTTAGCTAGAACACAATGAAGTAGGGTTTTAATAAGCATTCATGAGGGTAACAATTATTTCCAGTAGAGATAAGTATACAAATAGGAAAGGTGCCAAGAAAATTAATCCATGTAGCATATTCAGAAGATACAGTAATCCAGGTGTGGTGGGACAACAGCTAGAAATAGGATGGGAGCCTCTCTAACCTTCTACAAGGATATTGAGATACTGAAAGATTTGGGGCAGAAAAGTGGAAAATAACCTTTATGATTAACAAAGGAAAGGTCTTATGATAGTAAAAGTGGCTGGGTAGGGGCTACTGAAACAGATGTGGTAAGAAAAAATGACTGAGTCCCAGCCAGTGTGTTTCCATGGTTGAACATGGACCTGTGAGCCAGGTCACAGTTCAATTCCTAGTCAGGGGACACTCCTGGATTGCAGGCTCAATGAATGCCCAGTGTGGGGCATTCTCTCTCATCATTAATGTTTCTGTCTCTCCCCCTTTTCCTTCCTCTCTAAAAATCAATTATACATACATACATACATACATACATACACTGAATAGCCATATTATTATGATAGGCCAGATTATTATAACTACCCCATCAGTACTTTGTTGGGCCACCTTTTGCCTTCAATACTGCGACGATTCTTCTTGACATCGACTCCACGAGATGTTGAAAGGTGATGCGAGGAATCTGACACCATGCCTGATGAATAGCACTGTCCAGTTCTGTGAGATTTGATGGTTGTGAAACCAGCTGCCTGATGGCTTTTAACTTCGTCCCACAAATGCTCAATTGGATTGAGATCTGGTGATTGTGAGGGCCACCTAAGCAAGGTAAAGTCTCCCTCATGTTCTTGAAAGCACTCCTGCACAATACGAGCACTGTGGCATGGCGCATTGTCTTGTTGGAAGAAGCCATCTCCATTGGGATACAATCATCAACATGATAGGATGAACTTGATCAGCAACGATACTTAGGTATGTTGTATTATTCAAACGTTTATAACGGTCTGGCCCTCTAGCAACTTCAGCACGAAATTATAGCTAATTTGCCTACAAACGTCAGGTGGTCAATAATCTGACCACTCAGTGTGTGTGTGTGTGTGTGTGTGTGTATACACATATATACACACACATATGTATGTATATATATGTATGTATTAAATAAAATACATAAGTTAAAGTAATCCAATTATACTGAAGTATAGTTATCAATATAGTTAAAAACTGAATTTTGCTATAGAAGTAATAAATACTAAAATCAGTAATAGAATTACATAATATATAGTAATTTCAAAGCTATGATAAGTATAAACAATATTTCAAAATATCAGTAACTCAAAATGTTTCAAGATATCCAGTTCATGTATATTGTGATATAAAACATCTGCATTTTTATTGGTGACAATGTCGCAAGTACTACTAATATTACTATCTTGTGTTGTCTATATTCACAATGAAAGGAAACATTTTTGGTTAGAGGATAGTAAACATAATGTCATTTCTTTCGTATCCATGTCCATGGATCTTAAGTTAAGAAACACTCACACAGACTAAGGTCAAAGAAATAAGAAAGAAAATGAAGGACATATTTAGAGAGAGTATATTTCAAATAAATAAACGTCCTCTGTTATGTAAAATAATGGCAAGTAGATAAAATAATCCTAACCTACACTGGAATGACTCCAGAGAGTAAAAAGGAAATATCCCTATATCAACTGTTATTTAACAGTTTCCTTTAGTTTGCTAAAAAGAGCACAAACAACGGTAATAGCACCAAGCATGATTCATTTTCAAGATGAATCCCTCCCTGTTCAAAGTTTACATTGTTTTTGACCAGCACCAGACTGTTTATCCACACAAACTGTAAATACATCCTTTTTAGAACTAACCAACAACAATGCCCATTTTGTTTTGACATGTGAAATACAAAGAGAACATGAAGAAAAATGACCATCACTCTAATGTTGGTGCTTTGAAAATAAGGAATACTACACAGAGTAATGGGGTGAAATTCCAACACAATAAAAATTTTAATAGGTGTTATCAGGAGGAAAATGCCTTCTGAAATTCCCTACTTTCAAAAGAGAATGCTAAGTATAGCAATCTGTCAAACAGTCTATCATCTCCTCTCTTCTGGTAGCTTTAGGCAAACAATGAAGAGAGCTCTGCACAATAAAGCTGAGAGAAAATAGTATATTTTGACTCAGAAATCCAAGTATTGCTCTTCACCTAGATGTTCTTTTACAAATGACAAATCCTTAATTGATTGGCACTTTGCACCCTTCAGCAAAAATATAATTTTAGGAATTCATTCACAGTTATTTGATACCTATCTTTTCCCTTGGACTAGATGATACACAGGGCAGAGATGACAATTTTTGGTGCATGATATGCCCAAAACCTACAATGGAACCTGGTATGGGGTATGCTTACTAGGGAAGGAAGAATAGGAAGGCAAATGAAGCTCAAAAGAATACTCTCTGGAGATGTATAAATGTAAGGAATGTAAACCTTATTTTTCTAACAATACATCTGGTCCTCTGGTCAATCTACCTACCCCACATGTACAATGAATCTCTTTCCATAAAATGTTTAGTAGAATTTAAGTAAAGAAAAATACTCAACACAAAGAGAAAGGTCCTCAAAGAACAGATACTGTCGCCTAATTATATGACAAAATATTTATGCCATAAAATGTAATTAATTATGTAAGTAAAATTCCTTACAAATGGCAAAAAATACAAATATCACATAGCTTTCAAATTTGAAATACTTTTTTAAATGGCTGTTTTCATCCAGGACTGATTCTGAAAGATTTCTGACCTTGAGTCACTAATTAAGTTAACTACACATGAATAACTATTGCTATAAAAATAATAGAGCCAAAACACAAAACACCATGTGAAGAGAAAACAGAAGTCCCCAATTTTTTGTTACAACCCAATTTCTCCCCGGGGTTCCATTTACCTGTGTTTTTCAGGCTCTCTTGAAACTTCCTACAGAAAATTCATTTCTAGGATTGCTTAAGTATTACAAAAGAATATGTATTCAAGAAGAAGTTAAAACAAATTAGGGTTAGAGTATACCTAAAAGAATTGAAAAGAGGTACTCTAATATTCATACATACATGTTTGTATCAGCACCATTAACAATAGCTAAAGGATGTAAACAACCCAAATGTCCATCAATAAATAAAAAATATAGTATATATATATATAATGAAATATTATTCAGCAATAAAAAGGAATGAAGTACTGATACATATTACAATGTGGTTGTACCTCAAAAATATTAAACCAAAGGAAAAGAGCCAGAAACAAAAGATCCACATATTGTATGCAAGATGCAATATCCAGTTATATGCAATATCCAGAACAGATAAATCCAAAGAGATAGAAAGCAGATTGGTGGTGGCTAGCGACTGGGAAAGAGAGGAATGGGAGTAACTGTTTAATGAATATTCTATTTTCATCTGGGATAAAGAAAATGTTTTGGAACCAAGAAGAAGTGGTGGTTTGCACAACTAAATGGTTAACATTTAAATGGTTATGTATGTTATATGAATTTCAGATCAATTAAGTAGTTTTATGTAGTAACCATTGTCTCTCTACATAAAATTCCCTACTCTTAAAAACTTAAATCAGTCATGTGTCAAGGAGAATCTGTAATACTCTAGAAAAAGTGTCATCTAATGCCATCAAATATTTTTAGTCATTCTGGTGGGAATGAAAGGGTATAACCACTCTGGTACTAACAACCAAGGTCAAAGTTTGCATACATTATAGCCCAGCATTTCCACTCAAAAATGAGAACATATTTGTACCAGAAACCAAATAAAAAAATTTTCACTGCCTCATTATATGTAATAACCCCACACCGGAAACTCTCCACATATATATCAACAGTAAGTAGTTCAATTCCTGGTCAGTACATATGTCTGGGTTGTGTGCTTAATCCCCAGTAGAAGGCATGCATGAGGCAACTGACCGATGTTTCTATCACTCCCTCTCCCTTTCTCTCTCTCAAATCAATAAAAAGATATTTTAAAAAGCGAGAAAGAAATCAAGTAATCAAGTAAACCTATAAAGAACATGAATTAATCCCATGAACATGATGCTAAAGAAGCTGAATATACCAAAATATACCATTCTATTATTCCACTTATATGAAAGTGAACAACAGTATCTAAGGATACTTCCTTAGGAGAGAAATATTTTTAAAAAGTAAGAAAATGATTACCATTAAGTCAGATTCATGGTTTTCTTTTATGGAAAAGGAGCACAAAAGGGGCATTCTAGTAATGTTTCATTTATTGGTTGAGGTGATAATAACACAATTATTTGCTCTAAGACAAATTATCGAGCTGTACAGTTGTTGTTGTTTTTTCCTTTCCTGCAGCATACTGGTAGAAACCCCACAGAGATGGATTTTAAAATAAAAAACAAATGCTGCTCTAAAATACACATGACTCATGACCATTCTTCTCCAACAATGAATATGAATATAGTTAATAAACTATATATAGTGTTGTTGGCTTTGGTTAAAAATGAAGTTTTCTGGAAAAGATCTATAGACATGAGATTCAATCTCTAAATGTATGAATACAGTCTCTCAAACTTCATATTCCATAAAAATAACACAAGGAAATCCTTATATACTGGAAAATTTAGGGAGGTAAAGTCACGTGATAAAGACTGCCATTACGATATTGGTTTCAATTAAATAAATTATTTAATAAATTAAGAATGTCCCACCCTAACCGGTTTGGCTCAGTGGATAGAGCACCAGCCTGCAGACTGAAAGGTCCCAGGTTTGATTCCGGTCAAGGGCATGTACCTTGGTTGTGGGCACATCCCCAGTTTGGGGTGTGCAGGAGGCAGCTGATCAATGTTTCTCTCTCATCGATGTTTCTAATTCTCTATCTCTCTCCCTTCCTCTCTGTAAAAAAATCAATAAAATATTTTTTTTAAAAAAGAATGTCCCAAAATGAGCCTAAGACCTTGTCTTTGCATGAACATATTAGAAAAAATGGATTTGTTTTTGTCTCAGACCTTGAAAATTAAGGATAAAGAGAAGAAGGACTGAAGGGTTCAGGGGGGGAGGGGGGAGAAAATTAGGTTTACCGTGCAGAGGTGATCCAGAAGGGCTGCTTGAGAGACCCGGAACAGGGCTACAGCGACCTCCTTGCTTAGATGTCAGTTCTTGTTCAATCTCTTCCAGCCCAGCACTTTTCTGGAAACGGCTCATACGATTCACAACTCGTGGCGACATATGTGTTCTCACACAAGGCTGGCCACCATAAGGGTTGATTGGAAAAACATGGGACGTCCCCCGAAGAGTACTGACCACAACCCAGCGACAGTCATGGCTGAAGCAGATGTCTTGTACCTAGAAATGAGATATGGGAAAACAGAGACCTGATTGAAACTACTTACATTAAGAACATCACACACACATCACCAAATATGAATAGAAACACGTATCTCATTACCAAATATACCTAAGATCACGTTATAAATAAAATATTTTATTTTACAGATGAGTTTCATAATTAATAGTGATCAAAACTCCATATCAGGGATCTGATAAGATTCAGAGTAGGAAATTCTATCCCTTGCTGCATAGAGTGGCAAGTCAATAAACAGGACATATCTAGTTTCACCCTACAGAGTTATAAGAAAAGACATATGGAAAAAAGAAAAAAGATATATGAGTCAGCTTTATTACTCTAAATGAATTTGCCTTCTAAAAAGCATAAACTTGTTAAAATAAAAATACACATCATATAATGTAAGTGAGGAAATTAACCCATTCACTCAACAAAAATTCGTTGGGTACCATGCTAATAAATACTAAGAACATAGAGGTAAATAAACAATAATCCTTGTGCTCACAGCCTATCAAAAGGAAAAGACACATAAGAAACTTGTGAAAATATAATATGTAAAAGTGAAATAACTATCTTATGTATAAGGCACAGTGGTAACAAAAAGAAAGGAAATATATGAAATCTGGTGAGACATGAAAAGGAGTTGGTGAAGGTGGATGGTTAGAAGTGGCACAAAAAACATTATCTAAATAGCTATAGATTATGGAATTGCTCTTTGAAATAGGATATACTTACAAAGAAGGGAGAGAAGGATATTCCAATAGAGATATATCAGCTATATCACATATTCCATTTTAGACATAAATGCATAG